CTAGCGAGTCCTATCCTCCGTGTAAGGATGTCTACCGTTTTCTCTAAGTTTCCTCTTAAAAACATCCCTGGTGGGATGCAAAGTTTGGGAAACGGGATTGTTTCCCAAGTGACGGATATGGTAGGAAAAGCACGATCGTCTCAGATCCGTCCTCACGTAGATCCTCCCCTCCCGCTTTAGGAAGTCCGGGAACAATGTAACGCATCTGGTTATAAACCCCTTTGATGAATTAGCAGACTGGCAAGGAATTGGTCATCCCAATATTCTCTTTTTATTTAAAAAAAAAATATTTTACAAAATCAGGAGTGATGTAGGACAGACATCACTGCCAGCTGATATGTTTCAAATGCTGATCTTGTCAAATTTTTTTTTGAAATATTTGTATCTGGTTCGAGTTCACCAGCAAATCTATTATCCCCTACACGTCCTATGCAGCATTTGCAAGTTCCCTTTCGCCAGAAGGTGAGTGCTTTGCACGTAAACCATATGAAAAGAATGAGACAGTCTCAGAGTTGCCTTGCTCTGTCAGCAAAAGGTCTGCCTTTGCTGCTCAGCATTATATTCTGCTGAATTACATGCTAGGAACAGCTTTGATAGAACTCTCAGCCCACAGACCAGTCTGGGTATCGTGGGGATGTCTGCTTACCTGCATAAATTCTCCTTTTTCCTCTAGCCTCAGGGAGGCTGACTGTGAAAGACATAATCCTGCTCAGAAAGCCATGACTGTCTCTGCAAAGTGAATGGTAAATCAGAGGGCTGTGACAAGCTCTAACTATCCACAGCGGTTTCATCAGTCAGGGTGCAGGCTCTCACTTAGGTATCTGCTTGCAGGGGAGATCACCAGGTTAGAATTTGGTCCTTTCCTAGCAAGCAGCTCCTGGCTGCTGAAGTCTGGATCCAGTCCCAGCTCTAGTTTTGCCCTAGCTATGCTGAAATTTAATACCACAGTTTGCAACAAGCCTCCCAAAGCAGCAGGTGCAACAGACTTGGGGGGGGGGGGGGGGGGGGGGGTGTGTTTCTGTGCTGAGATAAATGCAGGGAGATGAAACCTTCTATTAGAGCTTAAACAATCTTACATAGTAACTGCTGAAACTGGGACCACAGGCAGAAAGGTGTTATACACAGACCGGATGAAATGGGGACGTGCCAAGCCTGTTGCCATCATATGTTGCCTCCACTGATACCTCAGAGACTCAAGGCAAAGAGTTCCCAATAAATACCAGATAGTCACTGTGCAAAAAAATCTAAACAAGGAAGGAGTCTAAATTTGTATAAAGGAGACGAAAAAATTGTAACAGCCAATGCTGCTTAATCCTTTGCACAAAAAAAGCTCCATTTAGACAGCTCAGCAGCGTTGGCAGGACAGACTCTCAGGCTGCCAGGCTGGCCTTGCACCCAGTAACCCCGCTGACTGTGGAGCTGGTGTAACAAAACAGTGAGCAAATCCCAGTCCCTCAGGATCACCACATCTTTCGCTGTGTCTGTGCATCTGAAGTCCCTCTGCTGGCAGCCAGATTGATAGGATTTTCAGCTCTCTGCAACCCATGATTGACAGACAAACTGTTCCCAAAGAAAATATTAGCCCAGCACAGAGGAACTCTGCAGAGGCCCCCGAGCCCTCACTAAGCTGCTCTGAAACTTGACCAGACCGCTCATCGAGGAGGGTGAGGGAGTCACCAGGTCACGCTTCATCCTTTACACAAGCAAGCTCAGTGTAAAGGGCAGGACACCCTGCGCTAGCCAAGAAATAGCATCTCTGCCTCTGATAGCGCTTGTGTGATCTCCATCGAGTCAGATGTGCATGTGCCTCAGTCTCTTATGGTGGGAGACACCTGGTGCTGGCAGCTCAGATGAGCCCTAACCATGACACGGGCTTCTCAGGGCCAGGTTTTACGGCTTGATCCATATGGGAGCCTGAGCTGCTTCTGCCCTTTTAAGTCTAAATGAAATGGCTGGTGCCCAGGTACAAAACCTGAGAGGGCTCTGAGGACAATGATCTTTTACAAGAGCAGATTTGCAATGCAGATAAAACAGGGCAGGCTGATGAATGTCAAGTCCTTGTCCCTTGACCAACTCTGAGCTTGCAGCACTTCCCGCCTGCAGATGCGGGAAGAGGGTGGTGTTTGGGCACTGGCCATCTCTTGAGAAACGGGATTAACCGTTAGTTTGGAAGGAAGTTATTTCCAACTCATGCCTTCCAAAGTGCCTGTGTACAGTCAAAAGGCTACAAAATTACACATATTACAAAGATTAGGGATTTGAGGGTTGTGTGGCTGGACCTAAGGCATAACTGGGGCCAATGCTGTCACCCCAGTAAGATGGCCCAAAGTGGATTCATGACAGAAACAAAGGCACGTGAATGAGAAAGACATCGCCAATTCAATCTTTCTCTCAGTTTGGACTTCTCTTTGCTCTGAGGTATGTAGTTAAAGGGAGAAAAAAACAACCCACAACATTATGAACGATCTCAGGGAGCGGAGATGCCTCTTGCATGTTCTCTGCTTTTGAGGGAGGCCCTCTGGGATAGCATACAACAGCTCTAATTCACCCTGCCCACCTTGCCTGGCAGCAGCACACATCTTTGCAACTAGAAAAGCTCAAGTCAGAGAGTGCACGTAGGTGAAAGGCCCAAGTCCCTGATTTGCTAGCCCAGAGGGCAGATTTCTAAGCAGCCACCGGCTTGGTGCTCTGCAGGGAGCACAGCCTCCTCTCCTGACAGCCCTTTACTTTGGTTTGCTTTGTTGGGGTTTTTGTCTTTTTTCTTTTTTTCTTTTTTTTTTTTTACAGTCCTTTGTGTTTATATTTGTCACTATTTGGTGAAAACGTTCCCGTTGTGGCAAAAGGTGATTTTGGCCGCATGTTTCTCCCAGACATAATGAGTGCTCCAAAGCCATGCTGATGGGAAAAGGCATAGCCGGAGCGGCGGGTGCTGGTCCGACGCAGGCGTCTCTTGGGTGAGGGTGGAGGTGGCCTCTTTTTGGCTTCTTTGATCTTAAGCAGGACCTGAAATCAGAAAATAAGATGGAAAAAGTGGGAAGTGCATCATTATTCACAAGCACAGTAAATGAGGAGCAAAGAACAGGAAACAGTAGCAGGGAAACAAAGAGGGAAACAGAATCAAAAATGATTGACAAAATGGGGGTGGCAGGAGGGGTTGCAGAGCAGGAGCTGAACTGGCAGCACAGGATGGCAGTCTGATAAAAGGAAAAGCAAATCTTGCTCTAGAAGGTGTTAATGGAAGTGTCATCTGTAAGACTTGGGAGGGGATGATTTCAGTGTATTGTTCCACACAGCTCTGTGATGCCTTGGTTGGGTATTACTGCAGCTCTTTTGGGCACTTCAGTCAAATAACCCAAAATCTGATAGATATCTCAACAATAGTAAAAAGTCCAGAGAATAAGGAAACATTTAAAAATTGGCTTATACTTAATCTAGGAAACAGACTACTAAAGGAGATCTCTGATATATAAAAGCTTTTTATGATGAGAACGGTGATCCATAGATTCTCATATTCCTTGGCAGAAGAGAAAGAGCTAATGCACTTTATTTGCAGGTAGTGGGCTCTCTGCTCCCATGTGGCCACCAAGATCATCTGTGGATAAGCATCTTTTCAGAAAGGGAAGGATTCTGCTGGTGGCTTGGCAGAATCCCCAGCCACTGGACCCCTGTCCCTCCTGCTTGGACAGTGGCAGCTGTAGGTAAGGCCTCTCTAAGCTTCAGGCTTGTATTTAAGTTCCTTTTATGCTTCCAGCTGGGGATCTCGGTGCAGCAAGAAACCCAAACATTCCTCTTATGACAGTTCACTTCCCAGAGGAGGTAGAAAAGTAAAGGAATTTTGCACTAGAGAGAGATGCTCAACCCAAACACTGGAGCTGGGATGTGGGCCACAGCTGCATCAGACTTCTACTCAACTGAAGGGTCAACTCAGCCCATTTTTACACATCTGAACTGCCTCTAACTGTATTCTGAGGACCTCCCTACCCAGAAATCTTCTCTAGCAGCCACCTACTCCCTCTGCAAGGACTGAGAATTCCTCTTCACTCATTCTCCAGCAGTGCTGGAGTACTAGGGAGCTTCACAGACATCCAGGATGACCAGGGCAGCCACTGAGGAGCACTGAGGAGCGTGCTGCGCTCAGAGACACTCGTGTCCGCAGCTCAGTGCAGGAGGAGGAAGGAAGCACCAGGTGGCAGCAGCATTTAGCAGATGCTCTTGTATGAAAGCCAGCCCGTGGAGCTGTGTTTATGCTGATCTTCTGGAGGGGTCCATTGGCTGCAGTGAGCTGTCCGCTCTCTGCCCACGTTTCTCCTGACCTCTCCTTGCCCTAATGGTCTCATCTTCTGGTTTCAGGGAGGGCAGCTGGTTTCAGAGACTGTTTATGACTGTTGGCTACAAATGAAGTAAATTCTGAAGTCAAAAAGTCCCCAGCAAACACGTACACTGGGATGGAGGGTGAAGGGCTGCGGTCTGCCGGGCTAAAAGCTGTATGGCAGCAAGGTAGGAGGACTGAAACACGCCACTGCTTTGCTACTGAGCCACAGCACTTAAACATGGCACCTAAAAATAGTGCAGCTTCCTCAATCTATGCAATCTAATCCACATCTAAATAATCTCAGCCTTGGTCCCAGCTGCAGATGGTTTGAACTGTGCCAAAACCCAAATTCATTCCTCCTTCTCAAGGGACTAGGAGACATACGGAGAGCAGCACTTGCACCTACAGGGACATACACTCTGAGGCTGCTGCAGTATGGCTCCATGGAAGGCTTAGGTGGTAGTAAGCAGGATTTCTGGTTTAACAAGGTATCTCCTTACCTTATCGGTGGGAGTTGGCTTTAACTGAGCCTTCAGGAATCGAAAGCCAACCACAGGCAGCACACAGAGGGTGATGCTGAGGAACATCGCTAGCCACACGTTTGGTTGGCTGAGGGTGTTTCGAGCCGTACCTGAAAAACAAAAGCATGATTACAACCATAACAGCAGCACTCTCACCATCATTCACTTGAACCTTTTACCCTCTGTGATTCCAAAGCACTTGGTGACCAAAATCTAGACACCATCTCCAACAGTGAAATCAACTTGCTGTAGAGAAGACAGCGACATGAATATCACTGTCTGAGATGAGCAAAGAAAAATGCAATGTCCAGACTCAACTGCAGCAACAACTCAAGGAGACAGGGATGTCATAGTGAATGACATCTCCTTACAAAGAGTCAAATCACTGCAAAGGATTGATATAAATGCTCAAGAGACCTTCTTCAGCATTGTCCAGCTCTCTCACCATTTGCCAGGACTCTAGTACAAATGGAGGAACATTATTTTCTTACTTTACAGCACCTTTTCCTGAAGCATATGGAGTACTGACTCTGACTGCTCAGTAGACAATAGGATCACAGCCCTTTATGAGAGGAGAGTGCATTGCTCTGGGTGTCTGCACAGACAGTATGGCCTAATGGGTGTAGTGGCAGAGCAACTGCCGTGTGCTGGTGTGACACTGCCACCTTCTTTGAAACCCAAGTGCTCACTTCTGGCTCCTCCAAAACTGAGGGAATGTAAGACAGACCAAACAGTCTGCAAAACCCTCATTACAGGCCTTAATGATGCTGTTGTTGGCAGTAAAGTTGCTGAATGTTTTCTTTTCAGTTGGCCAAATTCTGCTGTAATACAACTCCACTGAAATTAAAGTAAACAAGTTGTCTGAGTCCAGACTAGAAACACTTCCCTTAAAAATGGTTTCAGACTGAGACCTTATTAAGCGGCACTCAGCATTATGGCTAATTTGTCCTACGCAGTATCAACAGAGCAGCAGACAGAGATATCCCTGGCAAGTGAGTTACCACCTGTCTTTGGAAACTGAACAGACACTCAGTCTTCTCTCAGCACTTTTGATACTAAAAGCCATCTTAAAGTGGATGTGACCATCTGCTTGGAAAATACAATGCAACAACTGACCTGCATCTCAGATATTTCTAAAATGGCCAAGCATCATGTTATTGCAGTGAAGATGGGCAGAACAAGTCTTGGATAAAGGCATTGATTAATACATCAACCTGACACTTGAAACAAAAAGCACTGGTATTTCAAAACTAGAATCTCATAACAATGCTGTATCAATATTGGCTACAGATGCACAGAGCTATTGAAAACATTTTAATTACTTGGCTAAGTTTTCATTTTCCTTCTGGTCAAAGTCTCAGGAGACAGACTCATTTTGATGTTATTCTTCACCCTTTGCATGTGTTCAGACATCTGTTATGTAGAGTGTCCCCAAAGACCTGGTCGTCACTGGAATTTTTTTTGTTGGGAATTTGCCCTTTAACCTGGCTGAGGGCTCACCATAATCACATGGCATTTTTCTCATGTCTAGCTGGATGTTGTACTTCTATGCTTTCCTATACCAACATGTTAACTTATTTACAAACGAACACTCATCCTTCAGCAAACAAAATGCTCCTAGACACTGGTAAGAATTGGACACCTGGACACAGAGTATGAAAGAGCCACAGAAAGCATTCCAGCTAGCTCAGTAGGTTTATTTAAAGGATCATTCCTGTGGCTGCATGTGAATGTGCCTTCTTATGCAAGGAAGTGAATGTGACACACATTCACCTGGATGGATGGGATTCAAAATAAGCATTCCCAGCAGTCCTCAGAAATACCCTGGCATTTCTTGTAGAAAAGGCCATCAATATACTCTGTTACTGCCTCTAGAAAGGCAATAACATGTACTAGAAATACTCAACAGATTTAAGCCCTGCACTATGCCCATTTTGAGTGCAATCCAGATTTGTCCCAGGGCTTACCAACAAATGGGAAGGAGGCTGTGAAGATCAGGTACATGCCATCACTATACATGGTGAAGGTGATAGCAAAGTAAACAGAAAGGCTTCCCCAGATGAAGAACTGGTTCACAACTGTCCAATAAGAGGTGTCCAACCCAATCTGAAAGAATGGAGCAATACAGCTATTGTCAGTGCCTTTATTATTTAACAGATCTGTGCTGAACGCAGCTAGAGATCTTGTCCTCTTCTTTGTACCCCTGCTCCTAAGGCTGTTATTCATTCAAGTCTCAAGAAATACCAAGCCACAGATCATAGGATGCTGGGAGACCATTCAGGGCAAGCATTACTACATCTGCATTGTTGTTGCACTCTTCTCAAACATTCACCGGTGGCCAGTACTGGAGACAGGATACTCTCAAATGAGCCATGCTTATGTCCCCACCCCCAAGCTGTGATCTAGCACTGAAAGTAAGGAGAAGGAGCCTACAGGACCTCAGACAGCAGAAACCATTATCTAGGGAGGTATGATTGATTGACTTTTCTTTTAAGAAATTTCTCTCCTCCCACTAGTATCATTTGAATTTTGCACCACCCAAGTCAGCAATTTCTTCCAGCAGGTGCAGGTCTACCATCTGCATCATGCATGGGGCCAGGCTACAGAGACAGCCTCATGGTGGAGATCCTACAAATAACTGCCTGATAGCAGACAGCTAGTCCCATGCTTCAAACCCATCCCATAAAACTGGAATGAGTCCTTCTCTACTCCCAGCCTTAACTGTTTTGTCTGCTGTGACTGTAAACTTCACAAGGCAAAAACTCTGCTTTCCTGTCACTCTGATTTTTCCTAACATCCAAATCCGTTGTTCTGTTGAATTGAGGAAACTAATCTGGTGCCAAGACCTTTTTCTTTGCAAGAATGCAAGATACAGCAGCAAATACAAGATTCCAAACGGCCCTCCAGATGCTGCCTTCATAAAACTACAACTAATTCCTTAAAACATTACCTGGGATGCCTTACCTGTACAGACACCACAATCAGTAAGCAGGTCTGGGCCATCAGTGCAAAGGACTGGTAGTCGGCAATGGCCTTCCCGTCACTTCTTACTGTATTGTACATGGCCCCATAGGGGATGAAGAAGAGAATGAGGGAACTGTAGATCCCTTGCAACATGCACTTGACAAACACCGTTTTGTTAAAATAGAGGTTTTGCTGGCCAGGCACATAAAGCTGAGGAAACAGCATGCTCCAACGATCATCCACATCCTGAAAGTAGACAAGAGATGGTCAGGTTTGCTGGCACCTACCCAGCTGACCACACAAGACCACTTAGGGTTGCCATGTGCCTGTGACATGCATATCCATGAGAAAAGGCTTAGCATACAATTCACTCAGTTGTGCTGACAAGCGTGCCGCATCCCAAGGGGTCCTAGACACGTTTTCCATGTTGAATTTCACCTTTCTTGTGCTGGGAAAGCTGTCAAGTGCTGCAAAATAACATGAAAGTACATCTCATCTTAAGCAGACTGCATGGTCTGCTCTCCTGAGAGTTGCCTGGAAGCTAAGGGATAGAAAATACCTCCACTGGGTCCACACACAGGCAAGGCTGTCTGACTTGGATCCCTTAAGTGTCCAGAGCTGAATATTGTGAATCATTGTGCAGTAGCAAGTTTCTACTTATTTAACTTGTAAAAGGCATATAGGAGCAGCTTTATTGCTCCTATGTCTTGTTGAACAGTAATAGCACATGAGATAAAAATGTGTATGTGAAATTACTGCAGGAAGACTTCCACTAGAAAGGCTGAACCTGCAAAACCTGGCTTCAGAGTTCTTGTTCACTTGTTGTTCTGTGTGGTCATTAAAAAGTCAACTTGTCAGGCTTCAGGAACACAGCTAGTAAGATGAGACTATGTCAAAGAAATGTTGCAATGGCAGCTTTTACTGTAGTCAACAGCCTAACCCAAAAGTCTCATCATGCGCTAAAACCCACAGGCCAAATCAGGATAATACACCATCTCCTCCCTGGTGCATCCTTACTTTGTGCTCTCAGGTCTCACTGGCAGGAAACTGTTTTAGGAGCAACCACAATAGCTAGCCAAAAAGTCAGCTGCTTTTGCTTCATGGAACCAGCTCAAAGCACCTGGAGATAAAACCCCTATAAAAAAATCCAAGTGGTGATAGGAACAGTACCTGATCGAAGAGGCTCATTCCTAGCACTGGGAGGGAGGTATATACCAAATTGTAAAGCGTAATGAACCACTCATCATAGACAGTCTGAAAAAAACCCAAAAAAAACGCAAACCCACCAGAGCATGAAGTTAGCAAAAGGCTGCCTTTTCCATATCTTCAAAAGTATACACAATTAAATGCTGGAACATCTAGGTTTGAGATGCTACTGAGACCAAAAATATAAGGTGACTCAAGCTCAGCAGCCCTAAACAGCTCGTTACCTGTGGGAATACACGGCGGGGGGGGGGAAGGATTACGTTATGCTCGTCT